TCAAGTCCAATTTCGTTATGACTTTTGCATGACTATGTCATTCAACCTAGTAAGAATTATTTTTTACGGATCTAAATTGCAGTTGTTTAATAACTGAATACTGTCCATGTTTCTTCCCCTTAAACCTACTCTAGGATTGTTTAGTACTCTTGCAGCTTGATATTTACTCATCACTGTCCACATTCCTAATGAAGTACATCTAAGAGATATTCTCAGCACTTAAGAAGATCTTGATTTTAAAAGAACTTCTGGACAGTCATCTGCCTCTGTTCCGCGTCATTGTATTTTTTTAAATTTCATCGAAAATCAATTTCTACCTCTAAGCATCTCAGTACGTTTAAAGATCTACAGGTGTATACCGAAATTTACTATGCATATTTGCATACTACTGTTGCTACGACTCACTCCTTCGAGCAGAGCTTGCTCTTTTTGGTGTGCTGTAGACTTTTAATTGGGAACTAATCATCTCAACTGCTATGTCTGAGGGAAAGTTATGTCTGTGTCAATTAAATCGCCGTGTACTGACCAGATTTTGTCAGAGAGAAAACACGGTAAACCAACTGGTCATTTCTGGTTTATATGTAATCTCCAGCGGGCTGTAAACCAGCTGAAAGTATCGCATTTTGATTAACATTATGGCTAGTGACTACGACTCATCTTCAACGCCGCTGCTACTGACGTTTGACCGAGTGAGGAAGGCAATCAAGCCCTTCTGATAATGTCTCTGAGGGAGGATCCGGGGCGGATTTCGAAACGTCAGGCGCATAAAAGTCCTGTCCAAGCGATCGCGTTTTCTTCTTCTTCTCGACTGTTTGTTTTCCTTGAACTAGCAGCTGGCAATTGCGTTTCTGAAGAAGGAGATACGAACAAGAGTTTTATTGTCCTGACTTTTTGGATTCCGTCGGGAATCCTTAATCATAGGTAATGGTACAATAGCCTGAGTCCTGCGTTCCTTTTACGGCATTGCTGCCAAGGACCGTTAACTGATTGTTATTAGGCATCTGAAGCGATTTGTCATTTCAGTTTCCTAGCCAACATGTGCGGCTACCGTCTTTTTCCCTTTAATCAGTTATTCGTTTCATTTGAGCACCTCGGAGATATTGACTGTAGATCTGATTTAATCGTCTTATGTTAATATTTTCTGGCTTCACGTTTATACCTTTTCAGAATTCCTCGAGTTCCGTCGATTCTGGTGAGGACCATCTTCAGCACTCTGATGTCACGCAACCTTCTAGTGCATTCGCGCAATCTAGTGTGCGTGACTTCTCCTTTGTCTTTGTTAGGTGGACTTTGTCGCTAGGTTCACATTGCTCTTTGTCATTTTGTTTGCTAAAGAAACTGCCAACCAGAGGTCTGTGGGTTGACACAATCTGCGTTTTATTCTTCCACACTGCAAAGCCCTGTGCTAACACTTGTTAAAGTTCGAAGTGACTCATTCACGCGAGTTCATTTAATGTGCACTTCTTTATACGGGTGGGGTGCGCTCACTTCTCTGGCACTAGCCGTTGAGATTGTTGCTTTTTACTTTGCTCAGAAATTAATTCCTAATTTGGAGTAGATTAGTATATTTAAGGACGTACAGGCGCAGACTGAAATTAGATATGAGTATTTAGGCCGAATGCCAACAGCCAGTACGGGCTAAACGATTTATATTCCCAATCTAACGACAGGAGACAGTAGTCCAACTTACGGGGAAAAATATTTTTGTGCAGTAAATGTTTTCTAATTGTGTATTTGTTATTGGATGAGAGCTGCGCAAACGCTTGATGAGGTTTAATTGAATAACCCTTCATCCAGTTTAGTTTGGAATGGAATGGAAATCAAATGCCTGAAGTCGTGGGTCTTACTTTTCGTCAGAACGAAATCTCTATCTGGAGTAAACAAGTTTATTCGAGCGTCCATTGTCACAGTGGGAGAATATCGGCGAAACCCGTGTCTATGCTTTAAGCTAGTACTCATGCTGTCAGTTTGGTAAATAATGATGGAAGCCATATGCAAAAATTCCGTTAAAGAGTCTTTTATGACTGCGTTTTTTTACATTTTTCCTTTCCCTACGACTTTCTGCAGAGGTGGCTTTGCTTTGTGTGCTGTAGTCTTTTGCTCAGGAACCAATCATCTCAACCGCTGTATCTAGGATGAAGCTATGCCTGTATAAATTAAATGGGCATGGACTGACCGGATTTTGTTAGAGAGAACACAGAAAACTGGCCAATTGTTTCGGGTTAATATGTCATCCTCAGCGAGTTGTACACTAACTGCATACTAATGCTTAATAAAATGATGGCTAGTGCCTATGAGCCTAATTCCACGCCGCTGTTACTGATTGCTGACGCTTGACTGGTTTAAAAAGACAATTAAGCCCCCCAAATACACTCTTCATTTCCTTGTGCTACTAACTTGCAATTGCGTCTCTTTTACACCATCGCTGCCAAGAACATTAATTTATTTTTTTGGACATCTGTAGCGATTTTACATTTCAGTTTCCTAGCCAAGAAGTGTGGCTACCATGTCTTTTTTCTTTAATCAGTTATTCTCTTTGAGCATCTCGTAGGTATTGACAGCAACTGTGATTTAGTTGTCAAATTTTAAATGTTCTTAGTTCACATTTACACTTTTTCAGAATTCCACGAGCCCCACCCAACGTACTTTTCGATGCCGACCACATCATTCTGAGTTCGTGGCGCCCTTCCGTTTATCAATCCCAGCTACCGTGCGTGACCTCTCCTTTGTCTTTGTTTGATGCATTTTTGGCTAGCTTAACACTGCTCTTATTCATTCTGGTTGCCGAAGAAACTACCAACCAGAGATCAGCCGGTGGACGTGATTTGCGTTTAATTGTTCCTCGCTGCCATACCCTGTGGTAACAACTACTAAACACGGCGCGCATTCAGTATTTCTTTAATGGGCATTCGTTTATGCCGGTGTGACAATGCCTACGTATCTAGCGCAGTCGTTGAGATTGTGGCTTTTGGTAGGACTGTCTTTGGAGGTCCCACTTGACTTTGACTTATGA